GCAATGTGGATATGAACATAGGGAGACCTCCCACTTCGACTTTGTCGAAGAAGAAAAATATACTAAAACCCATTGGGCCAGGGTGTCTCCCTATTGAAACAAAGACCATATATAATATATATATATATAATCTATGTGTATATATATTTTATGTATTAGGTGGGGTTCTCTTTAGGCTGGAGGCCAGGCCATTGCTATTGGACACCTTTTATAGCAGTTTTTCTGCAATCAACATCATGACCTCCCCCCTCAGAATCCGAGAGGCCGGTGCCGGTCAAGCGAGTTCGAACCAGGTACCTTTCGACCGGTTCGCGGTTTTGGGATTTTTTGAAAAACCGGCTTTTGTTTTTGCTCATGTCGGTGCTCTCCATGTCTGCAGCATGTCAAGACCGGCAGATTTCATCATGCTATTCAGACATCTTGGAATGTGGTTGATGGAAAGGCAAAAAACGGATCATACATAAAGGCAGGGCTTTGGAAGGCTGGCATGCGAAACCAGGCATGGTCCACCACTGTAGGCTGATGTTGGCCCTCACCAGTGGTGTTGGCCCCGGCGTTTTTCGACGATGGACAAAGAGGATGTGCGATGGGTGAAGGTCAGGTGAGTGTGCTGCAATACCTGGCTTAGGGTGATTGTTGTTTCCCGATACTTTCCCATGCTATGTGTGAATCTATGTGAATCTCCCCATCTGGACAACCTTAGAACAGGTCGCTCGGTCGCCCAACGCAGCTTTTCTAGGACTGCAGGAAGGTATTAAATGCCTATAGCTTTTTGTGATCTGTTTTCGTTTCCTTTCGACTTACAGCGTCGACCTCCTCCTCCATCTTCGACCGGATCGTCGAGCTGGGACGGACCCAAGCGACCGATGCGTCGGGGTTTTCCCGTCTTCGGAGGGCCAAACCGGATCCCCAGTCTCAGATGGGTACCTCAGGTCGGGTCCAGGCGGCTTCGCGTAGCGCTGCTTATACCGGTCCCATGCCGGTCCCGGTCCCGGTCGCGGTCCGGTCAGTCGATGAAGGTGGAGACCAGCGACCGGTGGTTTCTCCAGCGGATGAAGGTGTAACCATTGAGTGGTTGCTTTGCAACCATTGAGTGAATAGGCCAAATGGCATAGGAATCAGATAGTCTTCCCTAAGGATCAAGGACCCTCAGTTCGGTGAAGGTTTGGTTCGGGTCCAAACCCCTGCGTTCTGCAGGGTCAAAACCCTCCAGAAGTGGTCGGGTCCAATGATCCTTAGGGTTGTTAAAATCCAGTGCCAAGAACCTGTTTGGGCAACGGTGTTCAACACAGAAACACGTGAGACTGAGATGGGTGAACAATCTTCCGTACTGTACCAGGGAACCAGTTTGTTGCGGGAACTCTATTCCTGGTGGACCCAGATTTGTCTTCACTCCCTTTAATTGTAACGGTTTTCACCCATAACATCCCTAACCCATTTCGGTCATCTTCAGAACCTCAATTTCCGGGTCATTTTTGGGGGAAAGTGTCCGGGTCTTCCACCCGTGGGTGCCAACGTGCATGCGCCAGCGCATGCTGGCGCCTTGGTTTCAGGAACTGGTGGAATCCAAGATGTGCAAAGCCATGGGCCATTGCTTCGACACGAGGCGGAGGGAGGGATGATCCAAGATGCCGCGGACGTCATTCTCGGAATGGCAGGTGCCTTCAAGAGCGCCAAAAGACATGTCGACATTAAGACACGACCCCCCCCGAGCAAGTGGCAGCGTTTGGTAGCTACGCCCCGGTCCGGAGCACCGTTCCGGGACCTGCGGTGATTTCGAGTGTTTTCTCGCGTGAGAATGTTGAAAAGAAAAGGTACGAGAATTATTTCAGAATGCAAGAGATTTGGGTGTGTAGGCCGTGTAGTTATTTAACAGACCTCAAAATGCAGCATCTCCAAATTGGAGGTCATGATTTTTCACATCTGTGGAATACACACACATAATATGTGGATGTGACTCTTCCAGAGTGTCATGAACTCATTCGTTGTTTTGAAACCGAATGGCCATGATGGCGATGGATTTTTCCAGCTGCCACGCCAGTTGTGGCTTCTGGAACCGAAGACTGGAAGGAACCAACGGTTTGATGGATTAGTTGGGGCGATGCAAGACCGACATCCCCGGCCGAGTGAATTGATTGGTAAAGCAGGAACTTCCAGCAGTGCTTGATGAAGAGTCCCTCGCTGCAATCACCAACCATGGCCACATGTTCTCACCTGAGGAAAGGGCTATTGACCTTTGACTCCTCACGCTGCTCTCGAGCAAACAGCTGTTCAGGTTGATCTGCACTGAGCTCACTTTCGGCTTTTTTGCTGGCCCGCATAGCCTGCATCACAGACCACTTCCAGCATGCTCTTCTTCTCTTCATCGATGTCAAACTCGAAGAAATTTTCCTTAGTATTCAGCATGCTTGGTCCTTCGTTCATAGTCCCCAGATACACAACGCACGTGAACTTGATCTTGTTATCCTTTTTTCAAGCCCAGACCAGACGAATTGGGACTGAAAACCCCATCCCCAAACGGCCCATCCGTGTATGACTAGTCCCATTCGGCACAAATCAGCTGCCCTAAGGATCCGAGTCCGGACCCTCCTTAGAAGGGGTCGAACCCTCTATAATTGTTTTTGAGGGTCCGCATCCTTAGGGTGGGAGAGCTAACCTCCCGAACGCTAACCTCCTTGGCTGCACGGGAGCCTCTCGGCTTCGGCGCCAGGGTCATCTACGGCGATACCGATTCAGTGATGCTGACTCTAGGCGAGTTCGGTTAGCCTTTTTTTTCCCTTTTGGGGGCGGGGTCTCTTGAAACAGAACACATGGTATGCCTAAATAGCAATGAAACATAGACACATCATGAAACGTGTAACGTACTTTTTTGCCGGGGGAGTGAGGGGTTCCGGTGGTGAAGTCCCAGGTTTGCTTCCAAGCAAGGTCTTATCTATGGGATCTTGTGGGTTTGTGTCTTTTTGACGGCGCTGACGCACTGGTGAGACCCCACAAGCTACAGGTTTTGGATGGGTCCGTTTTCCTTTAGTACTTCAAGTTTGAACTGGGGATCTCCCTCGCGCTCTTTCCTTTGTGTTATGGCCATCATATGTGTCACTGAGCATCTCCAGCTCCAACGTGCTATGATCACTGATGAAGATCCAGTGCATCTGGGAGTTGAGCCGAGTCTGCAGACTTGTGTGACAGACCCAACAATTGACCTTGCTCATTTTTCTGCAATTTGCAGTCTGGAGTTGTTTGAAGTTGTTCTGCCGAAGGAGGCACTGGGGGCACTGCCAGCATGGAAGATGCCTTTGCAGTTGGAAAGGAGGCGTGGCCGTGCGAACTCGCGACATTGCCTCCTTCGCAGCTCGCGACCAGTCCAAAGATCCGATGCCCAGCTGTGCTGAACACCTGACCGAAGATCCGACCTCCCGGCTTCCGAGACCACAGATCCGACAGGAGCTGGGGTCATAACACGCTAGTATTGACAAACATATGTCATGACACTCCATGGGACTGCCATATATGCTTACATTGGGGTGGTTTGGGGGGTCAATGTAGGCATATATGACAAACATGTGCCAATTAAGGAGGTTTTTCAGGATCGACGCGAGCTTCGCGGCTTCGCACACCGGAAGTCCAGTGCGCACCGATCGGGTCGGTTGGAGCAGAGGATCGGTGGAGTTGAAGGTTTGAATATGTTTTTGTGGGATGATGGTTTTTGGCTGGCTTTAGTTAAACCTATCATCCCACAAACATGATATGGTTTTTGCTGGAGTTTGTGGGATGATGCATGGATTTTTGTTGGGTTTTAGTGGTTAAGGTGGCTCGCTTTTGGCTGGCTTGTGGCTGGTGGCTGGCTGGTGGCTTTGGTGGCTTTGGTGGCTTTTGGCTTTTGTGTGGGTTTTGGCTTTGGCTTTTTTCGTTTGTCTCTCTCTCTCTCTCTTTTTTCTTTCCTGTCGCACTGATTCCTTCCTCTCTTCACTCATGCGCTCACGCAGTCATCCACTCACTCATCTAACCACTCACTTTCCTGACTCTTCCCCTCTCTCTCAGTCGCTGATTCACCTGAACACTCACCCAGCCCTCCCCCGCGCCCCCCACAACTCTCGA